GATTGTGAGATAGTTAGAACGATTGCGAGACCGATCGAATGAAATAGACCGAGTGAGATCGATTGTGAGATCGATCGAGTGAGATCGATCGAGCGAGACCGATAGTGAAATCGATAGCGAGATCGACAGTGAGACCGATCGAGTGAGACGTTGGTTCCCCCCCCCCCCGGACCTCCTTATCATCCGAAGGGTGGTCGTATAGGTATGTGTATATATAGGTATATGAATATAGTTTGTTGGGCACACAGCTTTGAAACCGCCGTGAAAACGACGGTTGTTGACCGATCTCGGCAGGCGCGCGCGACGTCGCGCACGCGCGCACTCCGCCCCGTTGTTTGCCAAGGGTTCTCGCGACGGCGCGCGCGCGAGGGCGTTCGAACGATTTCGACATGTGCGCGCGCGAAGCCCGTTTGGTAGCACGTTCTGAAAAGGTTGAAGAACTCATGGCTTTTCATAAGAGTTCGCTAGAGCGCGCGCGAGTTTTTTGGGAAAATCCACTTTGCGAAGCCATGTGTTTCTATATGCTTTGTGACCACTCGCTTTTGAAATCCTTACGAAGCCAAAAGCTTGTTTTGTAAGATTCCGGCACGCGCGCGCGACAACGCGCGCGCGCGTTTCGTTTTACTGTTGCAAGGGATTTTTGGAAATTGCTGATTTTGCTAAACGAGTGTGCGCGCACATAGTATTTGTTGCAGAGAATGGCGAAGGGGGATACCTGCTCGGCTTGGGCGGTGTGAATTCGCATGTAGGATGGACGAGGGGCAAAACCATTAACAAATTGCAATGCGCAAGGAGGTGCCGATACTCCCGGGGCGGGGAGAGTCTATCTCTGTTCCAAGCAAGGAGAACCTACGTAGTGCAGTCTGCGTGGTGTAATATACGCGGCGCAACTGACGCGCGGCAACCTACGCGTTGCAGTATATGCGGTGCTATCTGCGCGGTGCAGTTCACTTTGCCGAACTTGAAGTTGTCGACTCCACTGATTGCACAATCATCCCACACTCCCACCCGCAACTTGGTTTGCAAAACCCATGCGGCGGCGATTGCGATGAGTGCTTGGCGTTAGCTGATCCATCTCTGCGGCCGCGCCAACCCGAGCACGCGCGCGTAGCGGCCAGCTAGTTTGGCGCGACCGACGCGGCCGCGGCGGCGCTGACCGCTGGGCGCATCCCAGCGGACACTTCACTGCGAGTCGGCGACTTGGGCGGGCGCGGCATCATGGCAACGTCGACAGCGGTAGACACGACGATAATGGTAGCGATGCTGGCGACGATGTTGACAACGACGACGGCGCGACCAGCGCGGGCGCCGATGCTGATCGCGCCGACGACGATGACAGCGTCTTCGCGTCGGTGATGAAAGTTCTGGAAAGAGTTCGACGCGCGCGCGCGGCCGACGCGCGAGGGCGGCGCCCATTGTATTATTTGAAACGGATCGCGCCCCCCCCCCCCCCCAGCACGCGAGCAAGGGCGCGCGAATGATTTCGGCATGCGGCGCGACAGGCCGGCCTGGCTGGCACAATTCCATGAAAAAATTTGGAGCCGAAGGTTTCCTGAAGCTGTCGCAAGAGCGCGAGCGCACGCTTTTTGAAAACTGATGTTGTGAAAATGTTTCATGTTGCTTGGACACTCGGCTTTGAAATCGTTACGACATCACAGGTTGTGGACGGATTTCGGCATGCGCGCGCGACGAGGCGCGCGCGTGCATTTCCTCACAAATTGCAGCAAAGGAATCTCGCGACGGCACGCGCGCAAGGGCGTTCGAACGACTTCGACACGCGCGCGCGAAGTCCGTCTGGTAGCATTTTCTGAAGATGAAACAAGTTATGGTTGTTTTAAATATTTCGCGAGAGCGCGCGCGCAAGCTTCTTGAACATCCGCGTTGCGAAACATTTTGTTTGTTATAAATGTTTTCGATACTCGATTTGGGAATCTTGACGCAACCGAAGGTCTTGAAAGGATTTCGGCACGTGCGCGCGACAATGCGCGCGCGTGCACTCCGCGTTGTTTTGTTTTGTGGCAGTGGGTTTTCGAAAACAACTGGTTGTTGATAAACGAGTGCACGCGCATAATATTTGTTGCATGAAATGGCGGGGGGGGGATGCCAGCTCGGCTGGGCCGGCACGAACTCACATTTAGGATGGACAACGGGGCAGAATCAGACGCACATTGCAATACGACAAGGAGAGCAGATAATCCCGGGGGGTAGAGTCTATCCTCTTGTAGGACAGAAAAATAATTTCTGTCCGCAGCGAGCAGCGAGTTGTCAAATCCACTGCTCGCGCCACCATCCCACCCACCCACCCGCAACTTGGTCTGCAAGCCACACGCGGTGGCGATTGCGACGAGTGCGCGGCGTCGGCCGGTCCATCTCTGCGGCCGCGCCAACCCGAGCACGCGCGCGCAGCGGCCAGCTAGTTTTGTGCGACCGACGCGGCCGCGGTGGCGCTGACCGCTGGGCGCGTCCCAGCGGGCACTTCATTGCAATCGGCGACTTGGGCGGGCGCGGTACCATGGCAACGTCTACTGCGGAAGACACGACGATAATGGTAGCGATGCTGGCGACGACGTTGACAACGACGACGGCGCGGCCAGCGCGGGCGCCCACGTTGATCATGCCGACGACGATGACGGCGCCCTCGCGTCGGTGATGCAGGTTTCTGAAAGAGTTGGACACGCGCGCGCGGCCGACGCGCGAGAGTGGCCCGCATGGAAGCATTTGACCCAGCACGCGCGCAAGGGCGCGCGGATGATTTCGGCATGCGGCGCCAGGGGACTCGTTTGGCAGAATTCCATAAAATGTTAGAAACCTACGGTTTTCTACAGAATCCGCATGAGCGCGAGCGCACGCTTTTTGGAAGACGGACGTTGCGAAGCCATGTGTTTTTGTATGTGTCTTTGACACTTGTTGACGGATTTCGGCATGCACGCGACGACGCGCGCGCGCTTCGTCCGCTTTTTTGCAAAGGATTCTCGCGAGGGCATGCGCGCAAGGGCGTTCGAACGATTTGGTCGCGCGCGCACGAAGCCCGCTTGGTAGCCTGCCTTGAACATGTTGAAAAGCCTACGGTTGTCAAGAATTCGCAAGGGCGCGCGCGCAATTTTTTGGGGGGGAAATCCGCGTTGCGAAACCATGCGTTTGTTAAATGTGTTTTGGACACTCGATTTCGAAATCCTCACGACACCACGAGTTGTTGATGGATTTCGGCACGCGCGCGCGACAGCGCGCGCGTGTGCACTTCGTTTTATGCGTTGCAAAGGAATGTCGGAAACTGATGATTGTTGATAAATGAGCGCGCGCATCGCATTCGTTGGCAGAGGATGGCGGGGGGGGGATACCGGCTCGGCTGGGATGGCACGAACGCATATTTAGGATGGACGATGGGGCAGAATCATTTGCAAATTGCAATTCGAAAAGGGGAACGGATATTCCCGGCGGGGGGGGTAGAGTCCATTCTCTTTGTAGACAGGATAACTGATTCGAACGCACGAGCTGACACATTCCATGCTCTTGCAAACGATGACGATGACGGCGTCCTCGCGTCGGTGATGACGGTTCCAGAAAGAGTTCGACATTCGCGCGTGGCCGGCACGCGAGAATGGCCCGCTTGGAAGCATTTGACACGAATCGTGCCCCCCCAGCACACGCGCAAGGGCGTGCGAATGATTTCGGCACACGTGGCCAGAGGCCCATTTGACAAAATTCCATAAACATAGTGAGAACCTATGGCTTTATGAAAAAAATTGCAAGTGCGCGATCGCACGCTTTTTTGAAAACTGATGTTGCGAAACCAAATGGTTGTAGGTTTTGTTAGACACCCGGTTTTTAAATAAGGTTCTTGACGGATTTCGGCATGCGCGCGCGACGTCGCGCACGCGTGCACTTCGTCCCGTTGTTTGCAAAGGTTTCTCGCGACGGCACGCGCGCAAGGGCGTTCGAACGATTTCGACGTGCGCGCGCGAAACCCGTTTGGTAGCATTGTCTGGCAATGTCGAAAAACCGACGGTTGCCTTAAGAAGCCATGTGTTTTATATGTTTTTGGGACACTCGGTCTTGAGATCCTTACGAACCCGAAGGTTTTTAAAAGGATTGCGGCATGCACGCGCGACGACGCGGGCGTGCGCACTTCGTCACATTCGTCTGCAAGGGATTCTTGAAAGCTAATGATGTGTGATAAACGAACGCGCGCATAGCATTTGTTGCAGAGGATGGCGGAGGGGCCAGATACCAACTTCGTTGGGATGGTACGAACTCAGACTCAGGATGAAATATGGGGCAGAATCATTTGTAAATTGTCATACGAAAAAGGGTAAGGATAGCCCAGGGGGGACGGGGTTGAATGTATTCTATTTGAAGAAAAATCATATACGTGGCGCAACCTATGCAATGCAGTCGACGCGGTGCAATCCACGAGGTGCAAGCTATGTGGTGCGCAGCGGCGACGGCGGCGGCGACGGTGCGGCGACGGCGGCGACGACGGCGGCGACGGGCGGCACGGACGGCGACGGCCGCCCCGGGTCCCGAGACGAGCGGCGGCGACAGACGGCGATGGGCAGCACCGCCCGCAAAAGCCGCCCCTGGTTCCGAGATGGTTAGGCCAGGTAACAAACCCTGAGTGCAAGCACTGTTTTGGGAGTTGGAACCCCTAAGTGCAAGCATTATTTGGGGAAAATGTCTTGGCGATTCTTTCGCGACGGGATGGCAGGGAGGAGAGAGGTCGAAATCGAGCGAGCGGGCGGGAGAGACGGAGAAGGTGCAGGTTGGGCACGGCGAGTGCGGGGATGCAAAAATCAAACGGGCCGAGGCTGGCGAGGCGGCCGAGCAGGGCCAGCGAGTCGAGGATCGAGGACGATCGAGGAGGAGGAGGCGGAGGAGGAGGAGGAGGGTCGAGGAGATCCGAGGGTGATCGAGGATCGAGGAAGATCGAGGTCGAGGGGGAGGGCGACCGAGGATCGGGGATCGATCAAGCGAGGCGTGGCCCGCTGCCCCCCCGGGCTCAGGCCGGCAGCAGGGGGGAGGCCTGGTGTTCAAGAACCAGCTCCAGGGCACCCCCGCGGAGCCGCCCGCCGCGCGCCAGGATCGCCCTTTCGTCCTGCCAAGCTCTGCCTCCACGGTCCTCCTCGATGCTCCTCGATCCTCCATCCTCCTCCATCCTCTTCGATCCTCCATCCTCCTCGATCCCCCTCGATCCTCCTCCTTTCTCCTCCTCCTCCTCCTCCTCCTCCTCCTCCTCCTCCTCCTCGATCCTCTTCCAACCTCATCGAAACTCCTCGATCCCTCCTTGATCCTCTTCGATCCTCCGCGATCCTCGGCCCTCCTCGGTCCTCGATCCTCGCTCGCTGGGCCAAGATCGGCCGCCTCGGCTTCGGCCCGCTCGCCCGTTTCTGTTTTGCATTCTCGCGCGTGGCGTTTTCTCGAAGCAGGAAAAATGCACAAGCACATCTTCCGGAGGTCCGCGCGGATTTTCTTGGATCGGCGTTGGACCCGTCTCTTTCTCGGGCTCCAGCTGCGGCTGCTGACTGCCGTGGGGGGGGGCAGGAGGGAGGGAAGCAGGCGGGGAGAGGGATGGCTGACGGACGGAAAGCGGGGAGAAACATAACAATAATTACGTAAGCATAAACCCTAGGAGGTCCGCGCGGACTTCTGAAAGTTGATGCGTGTGCCGTTTCCCCCTCAAGACCCTCGCGTCGTGAAAAAAATGTGGCGGAAGGTATGGGGCGATCTTCGGCCTCCCAGGGCCCTCGCTGGGCCCCTGGGCAGTCAGAAAACAGCTCGGATGAAGGGGTGGCCAATTGGAAAGGGTCAAGACTCAAGACCTTTGTAGGGCCGCGTTGTGGAAAAGCACAACATCGGATGTCTCGATCCAGGTCGATGACGACCCCCGCGTTCTCCTCCTCTTCCTCCTCCTCCCCCTCCTCCCTCCTCCAGCACCATCATCATCATCACCCGTCTCAGCACACCCCTCACACGTTTCGCGGCCTCATAGGGAGCCCCACCGAAGGTCCCAGTGCTACCGTCCGCATGCGTCCCGCACACTCAGTACAGCGCTTCGTGGCCCCATAGGGAGCCCCGCCGAAGGTCCCAGTGCTACCGTCCGCATGCGTCCCGCATACCCAGTACAGCGTTTCGTGGCCCCATAGGGAGCCCCACCGAAGGTCCCAGCGCTACCGTTCACATGCGTCCCGCACACCCAGTACAGCGCTTCGTGGCCCCATGGGGAGCTCCACCGAAGGCCCCAGTGCCCCCGTCCGCCTGCGTCCCGCACACCCAGTACAACGTTTCGTGGCCCTCCTCCCCCTCCTCCCTGCGTTTCACCCACCTAGTACAGCGCTTCGTGGCCCTATAGGCAGCCCCACCGAAGGTCCCAGTGCTACCGTCCGCATGCGTCCCGCACACCCAGTACAACGTTTCGTGGCCCCATAGGGAGTCCCACCGAGGGTCCCAGTGCTACCATCCGCAAGCGTCCCACACACCCAGTACAGCGCTTCGTGGCCCCATAGGGAGCTTCACGGAAGGTCCCAGTGCTACCGTCCGCATGCGTCCCGCACACCCAGTACAGCGTTTCGTGGCCCTCCTCCCCCTCCTCCCTGCGTTTCACCCACCCAGTACAACGTTTCGTGGCCCCATAGGGAATCCCGAAGGTCCTAGTGCTACCGTCCGCGTGCGTCCCGAACACCCAGTACAGCGCTTCGTGGCCTCATAGGGAGCCCCACCGAAGGTCCCAGCGCTACCGTCCGCATGCGTCCCGCACACCCAGTACAGCGCTTCGTGGCCCCATAAGGAGCTCCACCGAAGGCCCCAGTGCCCCCGTCCGCATGCGTCCCGGAAGCCCAATCTGGCATTTTCACCCGCCCAGTGCAGCGTTTCGTGGCCCCATAGGGGCCTCCAACCAAGGCCCCAGTGCCACCGTCCGCATGCGTCCGGGAAATGTAATTTTGCATTTTCACCCGCGCAGTGCAGCGTTTCGTGGCCCCATAGGGGGGCTCCACCGAAGCCCCCAGTGGGACCATCCGCATGCGTCCCAGAAACCCAGTTTGGCATTTTCACTCACTCAGTAGAGCGCTTCGTGGCCCCATAGGGAGCTCCACCGAAGCCCTCGGTGGGACCGTCCGCATGCGTCCCGGAAACCCAATTCGGCACACCACCCATACAGTAGAGCGTTCCCCCCCGCCCAGTGCAGCGTTTCGTGGCCCCATAGGGAGCTTCACCGAAGCAGATATTCACAATTACGGTACCCACAACTGCATATGGTTGGGACCTTTCGCCAGGATAATTTTTTACCAGGAGGTTGGAAACACACGACGTTGCCGACCCAGGCAAGCGCTGGATACACCAGTGCCCGAAAATCCTTTCAGCGCTCGAATTTCGTGAGGACGGTGGCCCTCAGCATTCGTGCACCCATCGCCTGGCCCCTGGATGGTCCACGTGTGAATCCAGTCATTTATATTTCCAGCTTCCTGGTAGCGTCGGCGGCAAGGTGAGTACCCATCCAAGCGGTCACGATGCGTTGACCAATAGAATCCCATCCACCACCACACACCATTCTACCCCCTCGCCAACCCCCCCAAGCTGGAAGAGCGGCACAAGCATGGACCCCAGGAGATCCGCGCGGGTTCCTCGGGTCGGCGTTGAAACCCATCCGCTGGCGCACGAAGCGCACCAGTGGCGGCGCCGGAGGCGTGCCAGGTAGGTCTGGCGCCGACGCAAGAAATCTGCGCGGACCTGCGAAAGTTCATGCTTACGTAGGGGTTACGGTACTCCCACCTTTCCGTCCGTCCTCCACCTCCCTCCTTGCTTGCTTCCCTCCCTCCCGCCCCCCATGGCAGTCAGCAGCCGCAGATGGATCCCGAGGAAGAGGAGGAGAAGGAGGAGAGGGGAGTCCAGGATGGGGAGGGGGAAAGCAATGGAGTCCAGGAGGAGGAGGAGGAGGAGGAGAAGGAGGAGGAAAGCGGAGTCCAGGAGGGAAGGGAGTAAGCGAAAGGAGCTCAGGACAAGCCAGGCTCGCTCGCGCCATATCTGACGTCCTACCTCATCCATCCATCCCTTCCCATTGCGCTGCTTTCTCTATACCCACCGACACGTGTCATAGCGGACCTGTCCAAAGGGAACCTCGTCGTGTTCTGTGCAATCAAGAAAGGGAGCTACATACATTGGGATAGGAGGTGGCTGATGAGCAGGAGGAACAGGAGGAGGAGGGAGGAGGAGGAAGAGGACAAACGAACAGCAGGAAACTGGAGTGGAAGGAGCGGGAGGAGCAGGAGGACCAGGGGAAGGCGGAGGAGGGAATATGAAGGGGGGGGCGACAACGATGGACAAGGGATACAGCAAAGTGGCCCGCGCTGGGTACAGAGCGCAATTCGGAACGACGGGAGCAAAGTGCCGATCCCACAGTGAGGCCCACGCTGCAGCGGGAGCACCGTTTTAAAAGGCCGGAATAAATCTGAATTAAAAGCATAAGAAAAACACGTGTGTCCAATCTTGTGTGCGTAGAAAACCGTACGCGGAGATGGCGGGACATCTTCCCGACAGAGCCAGGGGAGCGAGGAGACTAGTATTCGTATTGAGTAATTGTGGAGGAGGGAGGAGTAGGAAGGAGCAGGAGGGATGAGTCCAGAGGAGGGAGGACAAGCAGGAGGAGAAGGAGGAGCAGAAGGTGGATGCTTCGAATGTTGACAGGAGGGCGGCCTGGTGTTCAAGAACCAGCTGCAGGAGGCGGACAGCTCTGGGAGCTCTGTTGGGAGGGGGGGCACCTTGTCTGCTCCTGCCTTGAGGTCGTTCCACCTCCCCCTCCCGCGCTCCTCATCATCGTCCTCTCTCGTTATAGACATCGGCGGTGTCACTGTCATCATCATATGTTGATTCCTCCGTGCTTGCTGATACAGCTCCTCGCAGGGACCACTGAAGACGGAACTTGGAGGGGGGTAGTGCGACATCGTTGTTGCGTCTTGGGTTCACACTGGTCCTCCGCCGCCGCCGCCTCCTCCATCTCTACATTCCACTCCTCGTTATCCCTGTCATTATAGTTGCTGCCGTTTCTCTTCCTCCTCATCCTCTTCCTCCCTCATCCTCCTCGCCCCCTGCATGAAGGCGCCGCGTAGGGGCCGTCGGTCGAGAGCCGTCGTCGTCGCCGCCATGACTAAGTCCGACCGCAGGGCGCCTTCCTGACTTCTTCGACGTGTGCTCTCTACCTGACTAACGCCGTCCCGCGTCCAATGCCTCGTCACGTCAGCCCCGGGTGGCCGCACCAGCGCGCTCATCCTGAAAAACTTTCTGCGGTGAGTGGTCCCCCCTCCCTCCTGTCCTCCGCGGCCGCTCCGCCTCCTCCTCCGCGCGCGCCCCCTTTTGCAGTCGGACAGTCCGTTTGTCGAGCGCCCCCGACAAGTCGAGCGCCCGTGCGGACTGCAACTGCCGTGCCGCGACGAAAAGTGCTCTCTACCTGGCAAGTCTCACGAGCTCCTAGCCCGTTGGTTAAGGTCCTGGCTGCCAGCGATCCGGCCCCCGCCTGTGGACTCGCTCCGCGGGCGTCGTCTCGCCCTGCGCCAGGCGTTCCCGAAGTCGGCCCCTGTCAAGGTGTGAGCTCAGCTGAAAACGCTGGCGGGGGGGGACCACGGGCCACCATGTTCAAGATCCGAACACCCTTGCCCTACGGATTTCGACGTACCCACTTTCCCGACTCCTTTCGTCACCATCTCTCCTGTCCCCGTCTTCTTCACCAGCTTGCCCTCCGGCGTTTTCACGTTCCCACCGCTCCTCCGTCTGGCTCGGCCTCGGGACGGAAGGGGATTATCGTGACACTGATTTGTCTGCGGCTATAGTTCATGATCGCGTCGTTCTTGCCCATTCGATTTCCCATAATTCACGAGTCGAATTCGCGCAGTCACATCACATGATCGGCGATTGCACCTTCCAATTTTCATTCCGCCATGCAGCTGTCGTCAGACTGCAACTCACAGCCTCCCAAGAGACGTGCGCCCCCCTACTCCTGCTCCTCCCCCTCCCTCCTGCTCCTCCTCCTCCCTCCTCCTTCCCCTCCCTCCTCCCTCCTCTCTCCGCCTACTCCTCCTCCGATTCCGACTCCGACTCCGACTCCGACTCCTCCCCCCCTTGCTCATCCTACCTCCTCCCGCCTCCCGCCTCTTCGTTCCTTGTGTCGTCCTCCTTCTCCGCCTCCTCCTCCGACTCCGACTCCCTCCTCCTCCTCCTCCTCCTCCTCCTCCTCCTCCTCCTCCTCCTCTCCTCCTCCTCCTCCTCCTCCCCCCCCCCTGCTCATCCTCCTCCTCCTCCTCCCGCCTCCCGCCTCTTCGTTCCCTGTCCTCTCCTCCTCCTCCTCCTCCCTCCTCCTCCTCCTCCTCCTCCTCCTCCTCCTTCCTCCTCCTCCTCCTCCTCCTCCCCTCCTCCTCCTCCTCCTCCTCCTCCTCCTCCTCCTCTCCGTTTCCTCCTCCTCCTATTTATCCTCCTCCTCCCTCTCCTCCTCCTCCTCCTCCTCCTCTCCTCCTTCCTCCTCCTCCTCCTCCTCCTCCTCCTCCTCCTCCTCCTCCTCCTCCTCCTCCTCCTCCTCCTCCTCCTGCCCCGTGGGTGGGGGCCTGGCACCTGTTCTCATGGTGTCAGTGCCACACACCCCACGGGACACACTGTCAGGAGCGTTATCCGCCAGCTGGATGAGGTGCAACCAGCTGTTTTGGGGGGAATCAAGCGGCTTGGCATCCTCGCCTAGCCGCTGGTGGCGTCAGCAGCGCCCTTAGCACTGGAGTTATGTAGTTCCCAGGCACGGGGGTCGCGCAGTTGCTGGACAGGTGGGGCCATGTGGCCCGTAAATCCCATGGAACCTTGTGTCCACTCCCCCCGGGGTACAACCCAGTTGCGCGTGCTAGGTGTTCTGGCATGGTTGAGGCCTTTTGAAGGTTTCCACGCACCAGCCGTCACGCTTAGACTGCGAGTCGCCGGCGACGTGGTCACCCCTCTGTGCCCTGACTGGTTTGTGTTTGGATCCACGTGTGTGGTTAGCGACATGCTCCCACCCGCTCCTCCTCCGACTCCGACTCTTCCTCCTCCTCCTCCTCCTCCTCCTCCTCCTCCTCCTCCTCCTCCTCGATCTCCTCCTCCTCTCCCCCTCCTCCTCCTCCTCCCTCCTCCCTCTCCTCCTCCTCCTCCTCCTCCTCCTCCTCCTCCTCCTCCTCCTCCTCCTCCTCCTCCTCCTCTTCCTCCTCCTCCTCCCCCTCCCCCTCCTCCTCCTCCTCCCTTGATTGTGCCTAGCTCTCCCGCAGGAAGCCCCCTCGTCGCCACGGGGGGGGCGGAGGGAGGGGGGCGGCCACTCGGGGCCCGAGGGGAGACGGGCCAGGCACCTCTTCTCTGTGCCCCCTTTTCATCAGATTCCTCCTTTCCCTCCTCCCTGAGGAGGAGGAGGAGGAGGAGGAGGAGGAGGAGGAGGACGACGACGACGACGACGAGGATGACAACGAGGAGGGCGAGGACGACGAGGATGAGGATGAGGACGAAGTGGAAGGATGAGAAGAAGGAGGAGCATCGCGTGCCCCCCGCGAGAGAACATGGAGGAATAGGAAGAGGAGGAGGGGAAGTAGGGGTGCAAGGAAGAGAAACTGTAACATGTGCCAGAGCATGTCCTGGTTCTCCCAGGTCTCTGCAGGTCGTCTCCCTTGTAAAGAGAAAATCCGGCCACCGTGGTTTCAGGACGTTTCGGAATTTCGGATTCCTTCCTCAGAGGATATCCCGCCAAAACTACTTAGATGTCGCGGTGGGGTGGCCCTGACAAGGCTTACCAAAAACCGTCACTTGCCCCAGCCTTGTGAAGGCCTTCCACTGAGCACGCACAAGCAGGAATTGGCCACTACAGCACTGCAGGGCGATGCGCGTGTGGTGCAGGTCACGGACGGCCGGGTCTTCTCTGGCAGCGCTTCCCCAGAGCAGCTTGTCGCAAGGGGCTTCACCGAGCTCCTTTTTGCTTACAAAACAAACCCCACACTGCCAAAAGGATCGAAACAAATGTGTGTTCGTGCGCGCGGGAAGCTCGCGGTGGGTCCACAGGCGCCACTATCGGCCGAGCATAATCCACACCAGGCAGGGCAAGACGGGGTCAAATCCCCACAGAGTGTCGCCGCGAGCTGACAGACAGACTACAAATTTCAACATGGAGGTCGGCCTCCTCTTCCTCCGCTCTGGAGTGCCGCGGATGCAGGCGGGCTCTGGCGTTGGCGGCAGAGTCTGCACCATCATCCCTTACCTTGCAGAAGCGTTCAAAAGCAGGCCGGTTACGACCTCTCCTTTTCTCGGATCGCGGCTATCAAGACGCGATGGTTCACGCCAGCCAGCGTTTGTCCAACGCAAGGAGAAGGAGGAGGAGGAGGAGGAGGAAGAAGAGGAGGAGGAGGAGGAGGAGGAGGAGGAGGGAGGAGGGAGGAGGAGGAGGGAGGAGGGAGGAGGAGGCGGAAGAGGAGGAGGAGGAGGAGGAGGAGGAGGGAGGCAACGTCACTACGACATCGACGACAGCAGCGACAGCAACAGGAGGAGAAGGAGAAGGAGGAAGAAGAAGAGGAGGAGGGAGGAGGAGGAGGAGGAGGAGGGAGGAGGAGGAGGAGGAGGAGGGAGGAGGAAGGAAGGGGAGGGGAGGGGGAGGGGGAGGGGGAGGGAGAGGAGGAGGAGGAGGAGGAGGGAGGAGAAGGAGGAGGTGGAGGAGGAGGACGAGCCGAGGGCGGGGCGGGGACGAACCGCGCGAAGCGCAGGCCGCCACGCAGGCGAGTGCCGTGCTCGCTGCAGGCGGGGCCCCGCCAGGATCTATGCACAGGGTTGGGGAGCGGAGCGGCGGGCTGGGGCCCGCAGGCAGGGAGGAAGAGGCCCAGACCTCAGGCGGATTGACGTTCTCAATCCTGGCGCTGTTCCTTGACGGCGGCCTCCTGGAGCCACCTTCGGGCCCCGGGGCCATCAGACATGGATCCGGGACGAAAAACTACCCTTGGGGGAGTGGTCGAGACCTTTGGGGACCGCGGATTGAAAAATCAATCCATCGGATGTCTGGGTCGGCAGGGAGGAGGAGGAGGAGGAGGAGGAGGAGGAGGAGGAAGAGGAAGAGGAAAAGGAAGAGGAAGAGGACAACCTTTGTGGCGCGAGCGCAGCAGCAGCAGGAGGAGGATCGAGCTCCAGGGAGCTCCTTGTCGCCACGGCTGGATCCCCTTTCGAACATACGACCAACATGTACCCGAGCAGAAGCCCAGGAAACAACTCTGAGTGGAGAGAGGAGGAGGAGGAGGAGGAGGAGGAGGAGGAGGAGGCGGGGGGAGGAGAGTGCCTTCTGATTCACGATTGGGGTCACAAACCGGCACAGCATGGAAGCTGGACGAAGTGGTTGCAGGTAATATGTCCACTTGTTCCGGCCCTGGCCTGTCTCTTTTTGTGTTTCTCTTTGTTTTTCTCTCTCTCTCTCTCTATCTGCATACATATATATATATATATATATATATATATATCGTAATGGCCTTCGGCCCATCCCGCCACCTTGCCTGGATTGTAGGTCAGTGTCCTCAAGGATGCTTCTTGGGGTCTCTTCGGAGCACTCTCTGAGGCCTCTCGGATGCAGTTTTGAGGCATCTTGGGGGCCTCTTGAGGGCCTCTTGGGAGTCCCTTGGACGCCTCTCAAGCCATCCTCGAGGCCTCATGGGACCCTCTTGGGGCCTCCTGGGGACCTCTGGGGTCTCTTGGGGCCCCCTCTGGAGCTCTCCTGGCCGAGAGCTCGAAATGTCCGTTCGGGTCTCCCGTCTGGGCCCCCTCTTGGAGCCGTCTTGGGGCCGTCTGTTGCGCCTCTTGGGCCGTCTTGGGGCCCTCTTTCTTGGGCCGCCTTGGGGTCCTCTTGGCAGGCTTTTCGGCCTTGTTGGGGCGATCTTTGCGGCCTCGTGGGCTGTCTTCGAGCGTCGGAAGCCCGAAAAGGCGAGAAAACCGTCGAAAAACCCACGGGAAACCATGGCCTTGTGGAGTCTTCTTCGAAAGACTCATGGACGCCTCTTGGGGCATCTTGGAGGCTTCTTGGACCGCCTTGGGGCCATCTTGGGCGTCTTGGAGCGATCTTCAGGCGTCTCGAAGCCCTCTTGGATCATCTTGGGAGTCTCTTGGAGCTCTCTTGGCCCGTCTTGGGGCCCTCCTGGGCCCGAAAAAGTCACGCGGGGAGACGCGTTGGGGCCCAGGGTGACCGCGACAAGCTCACGAAGATTTGACAATTTGAGCTCCGGGCCTTTAAGAACCCGCAGGATCGAAGCCACTCCGTGCCCAGAGTCACGGTGGCGGATTTCTCTCTCTCTCTCTCTATAGATTCTCTCTCTCCCTCTCTCTCTCTCTCACTCTCTCTCTCTCTCTCTCTCTCTCTCTCCCCCCATCTCTCTCTCTCTCTCTCTCGTTATATATGTAAAGATACGATATTTAGATATATATATATATATATACAAAAGTATACACCTATATATATAAATATATATATATATATATAGGTGTATGTATGTATGTATGTATGTATGTATGTGGTGGTGGTGGTGCTCGGGGCCTGGGCCCGTCCCAAAAACCTTCCAAGTCGTCCCAAGAGGTGCCCCAGACGGTCCTAGAGGCCCAGAGTCGCCGAACAAATTTTCCAAGACGCCTTTCACGGCCTCCATGTGGCCGAAAACGCCCCCAAGACGCTCCACGATAGATACCAGACGGCCGCAAACGCTTTCAAGACGTTCCAAGAGGGTTCCAAGAGGCACGCCAAGAGGGCCCTCAGAGGCAAAAGTCATTGGTTCCTCATTGGGGTTTCAAGGTTGCCCCGCGTTTTCGCAGCTCGCGCTACCCTGCGCGCCAAGACTGCCTCAGAGGACCCGAAAATCTCCCCGAGACGTCCGAAGAAGCTCCCAAAGTGGGCGCCCAAGGACACTTCAGGAACGCCCACGATCGGCGGGCCTTCAGGGTAACCTCCAGGCCCCAATGCCGGCTGCAGGGGCCCTGGGCCTCTCGGAGACGGCCAGGAAATTCCGGCATGGCCTACGAGAGCCTCAAGAAACGCCAAGGACAGTCCAGGAGGCCCCCGAGACGGCCCAAGACTGCTCCAAGATGGCTCAAGACGCTCTTAAGACACATCCGGTGCCTCGACCCAGGTGCCGACGACACCTGGATCGACCTCGCTACCCAGGAGGGCCCCAAACCGGACAGTTGGACCAACCCCGCCTGGGGACATAAGATCGCCCGTGCCCTCATCCAGGCGCTCTGCCCCAGCACCATCACTAAACGACGGAGCGCCACCCGCCGCCGCCTGGGACGGTGAGCGGCGGGCTGCAGTCCGCTTTGTCCAAGAGCCGACATCGAGACACTCCTGGCAGCGCTGCGCCTAATGAGACGCACCACGCAAGGGCACCGACCCCGCTCACCACCGCACGGACGCGCTCGTTAACTGGCTCGCCAGCCTCGACACCGCGGTTCCGACGGACGACGCCGCGATAATTGGAAATTGGCGCCAGCAACGCGGATCTGACAGCAACGTCGGGCGCCACAGACGAGCCCGCTCGGACTGCCCCCTCCCCCAGCGCCCAGGCTGGAACAGCCGAGGGGTCGGCGATGGACGCAGCGACTGGCGACCAAGGGGACTACCATCTCCGCAGCACGCGCCTGGGGAAGACACAGAGTCCGATCAGGCTAGGAAACCCGACGTGGACACTGCTGTCACCATGGAATACGACGCCGGGCAAGCGGACCCGCGCGGAGCTGACTGGGGCAATAGCCCCGAAAACGAGGCACCACAGATGAGTCCTGAGCCGCCAGCAGACGCGGAACCCCCACCACCACAGGCAACCATTGATGAGGCGCCTCGGGCTCGCACTGTCATACTCCGCGCCTCAACAGGCCAGCAGCAGCCACAACCCCAGCGACGCGCGGAAGCCGCTTTCACCTCTTGATTCCTGGGGGCCACAGCTGGCAGCTTGGTCGCAGCACAGGCTAGCCTTGACGCACACAGAGGGCCGCGGCAAGGAACGCGACCGACCGACATGGAACCCCTACGACCAGGATCACCGAAGTTGGACACGCACACACTGCCCCGCTACCAGCAGGTGGCCTGGCCATAGCTCCAGCTGGAACGCACGCAGCGACGCGCGCGCACATGGACCCACCTGGTCGAGTCCCGAACGGCACAGCCATGCCACTGGTAAGCGGGTTCGTGGCCTATGGCGGGACACAGCCGACAATCCGCTCACGACGGCCGACCGCCGCGCCCGCGACGGCAGTCAGATGCACAAGACGCCCACACACTTGGCGGAGGCACAGGGCAAGACTGAAAACAGCCGCGACTTCATCAAAGGAATGTAAATCGAGCTCGGCGCCACCGTCAACGAGGTCTGGCACTGGTGGGCAGAGCGGCGCGAAACGCGCCCTGGTTTTGCTCCTAAGGGTCCGCACGTGCAGACCCGGCTTGCCCGCGATGAATTCCTGGACGCCTGGCGCCAATGCGATTGCGACGCCTACGCGCTCAACCACCGCCTTGGGCTCGACGCTAACTTCAGGCACGCAAGGCAGGAGCGCGCGACGAGCGACCGGGGCAGCGCTGGGAGGTCAGGCAAGGGGCACGACCAAGACCCTGACGCACGCAGCGGCAGGCAGGGCAAGCGCAGCCACGGCTGGGAAGGGCCCCTTTTCCGATAAAAAGGCACCGTCGGTAGGCCTCCTGCACGCTCAACTATGCCATCCAGCATTACCCTCCAGGTCGCACTGGGCTACGGCTGCTCCTGGTCCCACTCGCTTCGCGCCTGGTGTGCCTCCAGTCCTGCCTGGGGCATCCTCTCTGCATTTGCAGCGATCAGCTGCCGCCACTTCCTGCCCTCAGCCCCCCCTCCATTTCCCTCGCCCCGGGTTCACCTGCGTCTGCTTCCTCGATGCCTGCTCCCGTTGATCGGGGCTGCGCATCGCCTGGGGTGCGCCTCTGCTTAGGGGTAACCATTGCATCCTGTCTCTATGAATTTGCAGCGATCAGCTGCCGCTCCCTTTCCTCCTTGTTCCCTGCATTTGCGGCGATCAGCCGCCTGGCCCCGCTCCTCGCCTTGGGTATCGTCTGGCAGGTACTGCTCCAAGTCCTGCCCCGCAGTGGCGCCCGGGGCTGGCGCCATCGCTGCGGGCCCGACGTGGCTGGGGCGATGGATGTCCGCCCGGCTGCCTCCTATGAACTGTCGCTGCTGCTACTGGGGCTGGCGGCTGGCGCGCCGCCGGAAGGCTGGCGCTGTCGGCGCCCACCTGTTCCTCATCTTCGCCGTGGCTGCAAGGTTCGCGGCGATGGGGTTCGGCATGGACTCGCCGCTGATCCCGCCAGGGACCTCCGCTCCGGTGGCGCTCCGCACCCTTCTGCTCGGCTTCGCCGCGCGGGTCACACAACTGCCTCCAGGCCTCGGCGCGCGGGGCGCCCTGATGGCTGGTCGCGTTGCGTGGCCGCCGCATCGTGCTCCCCTGCCTGGAGCACCTTTGGCTACCCTCGTGATGGCCCGCTCGGCCCCTGCACCAGGGGGTCCTGGCTCTGCGCGGAGGTCCTGGAGCGGCCGCAGCCCGTCCGCTTTCTGGTTCTTCCGTGCCGCCCTCATCCACGTGGGGTTCTGAGCGTACCTGGTGGCCGCTTTCTCCGTTCCCTTCCATCGCCTTTCGCTGCCGGTTTTCCATGGATCCTGGTGCGGCCATTTCCTCGGGTCGAGGTGCTCTCCATGGTCTTCCTCTACGCGGAGTTGGACACCCGCCCAGTTGAGGCCTTGAGGTCGTTTTCCTCT